TTAAGTGCTGCCCATCGTTTCCATGGAAGCTGGAAGCCAGGAAAGTTTTGTCGATGGCTCTCTGAGCAGATGAAATGGCAGAACAGATGGGACACATTTATTTGATATCCCAGTTGGCAATGAGGGTAAGGATAAGGATTTTTTTTCCTTTTGTGATCCACTGATCCTTGATCAAAGGATCTGTTCATTTTTTTGCTGGAAATTGACAGGAAACACACTTTCTGCAAACATTAGAAGCCTGCATCAAGCTGATAGCAAGGACATTTAAATAAGTATTGAAATCGTAAAACACACACGTAGTGCCATCAGCTGGTGCATGGTCACTTTTGGTCAAAGCCCTGCTGTGTTTTGGTTAAATGTTCTGAAGTTGCATTTTTTTTACGTGTGACCGCACATTAATACAATGTTGCATAAGCGTCTATAAACACACGTTTCTTTGGGCGGCAGGGTGGCACAGTGGCAGCACTTGGTAAGAAGGTCCTAGGTTCGATTCCCCAACTCGGGTGCCTTTGCGTGTGGAGTTTTGTATGCTCTTCTCTTTTTTCGGCATGGGGTTTACTCCGGCTTCTCTGGTATTCCCGCATAGCTAGACAAAAAATAAATACAATGTGAGTGGTATTGTCCGAACAATCGCAGTGCTGAAAAACTTTGCCCCCCCTATTGCAAAAACTTTGCAGAACGCTTCTGAAAAATTGCCTTGAGACACACTGAGGCTTTCCCAGTGAACAAGAGTAATACGATTAACCTGTATGTATGTTGAACTTTTTTCGCACCGTACGTAGCCAACCGTGCTAATCGGAGGTGGGGGGGGGGAGGGGACAACAAACTAAACACAAAAGTCAGTTTTAAAGAAATTAGTTTTCAATATAGATTGTTTAAAAGTGCCAAGCTCCAGTGGATTCCTAATGTCGGAAGGAAGAATGTTCCAGATGGCAACAGATGCAGTGACCGTGAGTCGCTGCATCCAGGAAAATATTACACAGTGCTCAAGTAAAAAAATGTGAGCAGTAGACAGTGGTATACTCTTGTGCATAGACTCTCACTGGAGTAGCGGCCTCCGTCCCGGATTGCATCATGCTCTATCTCATGGCTCAGTTTTCTGTGAATTTCAATCTTCGTCGATGAATAACAGAACTGGCTGCTGGCGGATATGCAGCTCATGGCCTTCATGAGGCTCCAGCATTAACACTTTGCATTTATGGCTTTATTTTGGTGATTTCTGAAAGTTTTTGGTTTGGCCATGTTTTTGTTTATTGTAGTACGGAGTTAGACTGATAGTCTTAATCTAAGTTTTCTTGTTGTTGTTGTTTGACTTGCATCCCACTGGGATTATTGCACACAGCGTTGGTGTACAGTGCTATTTCAGGAATATTTTGATGTTTTTTCCTGGATTTTCTGTTTACACAGTCACACAAAGTCACTTTAAGATGTTTTCTTGTTCATGTTTTTTTTGTTTGTTGCGGTTGCACCTGATTCAAGAGCCGAATGGCTCACAGGGCTATACCAAATAAATGAAACTATGAAATGAAACTATGAAACACCGCACCACGAGGATTCCATCTGGCCAGGTGTGGCTGTCCGCAGTAGAGCGAGCACTCGCAATCGTAAGGGTCAGAGTTCAAATCCTGCCTGGGCGGTGGTGGACTCAGCCCATAATCCCTTCGGAGTTCATTATGTGAGTACGTACCACATTAATTTGTGGGGAAGTTTACAATGGTTGTCCTTTATTTGGACTTTCCCCCACCACAACTCCACAGGTGCCTCAGTTAGGATTGTTTACGCTGAATTACTGCGGCTCTCTGAGCCTCAGCCATTAACATTAACACCGAGCCACTAGAATTATAGTGGTGGCTAGCTCTGGCTGGTTGCCCCTCGGGAATTTCCAATGAATACTTATTCGAGATTTCTATGCTGAACAATAAGACTCGTATGGGTGCCTTAGTCTGCTTGTGTGTGCCTTAGCCATGAACACTGAACCAAAATATACCAAAATATATATTTGTTTGGTTCTATACCCCTGGGCATTAACGCTGAACCAAAACGACCGTGAAGTGTACATTAGTCTGGATCGTTGAGCCTCGGGTATTTACAGTGAACCCTGAGAATCCGAGGTGTTCATTTGTGCGTCTCTGTGAGCCTTTGGGGGCTTTAACGGTGAACTCTTTGAGAATCTTCGGAACGCCAGTGGGGCTCTGAGAGCCTGTGGGGGGGGGGGGGGGGAGGTGGGGGTGGGGGGCATAAACACGGAGCGCCGTGCGTGCTCGCGGTGCACCAATCTCTTGCACCATTCCGCCGATGTACGGCGCCGGTAATTTGCCCCCGCGATGCGCCACTGGAATGCTGCACGCTCGCAGCTCACGCTCCGAACGGTCTCGAGGCGTGGCCCGTTGAAGGTGGCCAGGACCAACGAGGCGCCGTGCCACGTGCCGTTGTTGCAAGCCCGCACGCGTTTGGCGCCAGGTCAGAGCGGGCAGCAGCTCCGCCACGTCCAAATCGGCGCGCCGTCGGGCCCTACCCGGCGTGCTGTTCGGCGGGAATGCCCGACGTTCCGCTCCACGTGCCACCGGGAGTTTCTTCGGGAGGTTGAGTTGGGATAGATGGAACTGAAGAAGCTTTCCGCACGGGGAGCGCAAGCGTCGGACGTAAACCATCACGCGACCTCCGGTCATCCCCGCAGCAAGCTTTTAGTTAGGCATCGAAACAAAGACGGTGCACCGCATCGCGTGCTTTCAGATGCGCTTCTGCGGCCGTCTGGAACGCTCTTCAATTCCCGTATTAGGAAGCCAGTGGAGCTGTGCACTTTTAAATTATTTAGGTGGGCAAACTAATTTATTTGGAACTGATTTTTGCGTTTACTTTGTTGCCCTATCCCTCCTCACCTCCGATTAGCGCACGGTTGGCTGCGTACAGTGCGAAAGAAGTTCAACACGCATACATACAGGTCGCTAACCTTTCTCTATGTGCGTGGTATTTGCCGAAGACCAAATCACTCTGAATGTGCACAATCTTGTCAGATCTCGGAAGCAAACCTGGGTCGATTCTAGTTATCACTTGGATGGGAAGACCGCCTGGGAATACCGGATGTTGTAAACTTGGCCTGAGAAGTGACCAGGACGTTTTAGTCCTGCAATGAATTTTTACGTATATCTGTGTGGAATTCTGATCGTTACCACCGTCGCTATGTTTGGAAGATTTTATCCAAGTTTCCGCCTGCACACCAAAATTAGCCAAACATTCCAATGCAGGATGCTCCTGTAAACCGGTCTTGAGATTCAGCAAGGTTACGTTAGGCAACGGGCATTATCACTGTGTATGATTACATGTGACTGCAAAGACTAAAGATCCGCCTTATAGCCGTAATATAATTTTTTTAGCAAGTGCTGTTAACGGGCACCTCTGAAGGCCGGCATGGCACAAGGTGGGTGGCTAGCACCATGCCCGGCCGCCTTTGTCTCGCGAGTGGCAATGTTTACACACCGCACCAGGTACTCATTTGAGGCTGAGGCAACATAGGGGAGGCCCAGGACCAGTTCAGATAATCGTCGCTGATGTTGACCGTGAGCGGGAATCGAACTCGGCTCGCCGGCTTTGTAGTGCACCGTGCCAACCGCTGCACTACTTCTTCCCGTACACATGTGACCACAAAGACCAAAACAAAGATCCCACGTATAGCCTTAACAGACTGTAGGGGCAAGTGCTGTTAGCGAGCACCTATGAAGGCCGGAACGGTACACGAGGGGGTGGGTGGCCAGCACCACGCCCGACCGCCTTTGTCTCCCTAGTGGCAATGTTTACACACCGCACCAGGTACTCATTTGAGGCTGAGTCGACCTAGGGGAGGCCCGGGACCGGTTCAGATAATCGTCACTGGGTGTTGGCCGTGAGCGGGAATCGAACTCGCTGTCGCCAGGTTCATAGCGCAGCGTAGCGCTAACCGCTACGCTACACACGTGACCACACACACACACACGTGCTGAAGAGGCGCTGGATTGGTAGACGTGTTCAGGGGGGTTGGCAAGGGCCACTTTATGAATAACGTTCAATTGAAGAGGCGCGACGATCAAAATCTTGCCTGCAGGAGGCAGTTGTCCTGATTGCTTGCGGGGTGTTCGTACCACAGCTGCGGCGCTCCAGCCAGCAGTCCTCTGTTTACCCACGGCTCCCCGGGACTGCCCCCCACCCCACCTCCATCCTCGGACAACTCCCCCCGTGAATAAGCATCGAGCAGAGAACTAATAACGTCCCAGGAGCGTCGTCCACGCGTATTCAAATTCATCCCGAAGCGCGTTCCTTTCCGTTCTGGCCTCGGCAGCCTCCCCTTGGAAATGAACAACATGTGCGGACAATTACGCGAGCACAGCACATCGTACATCAGTGATCCGCACGCAATAAAACCATTTTAAATGCGGCGCCGTTATGTATGCACACGTACACGGTTGTCCATGTCCGTGGATCCCTCTCTGAGGTTTCGCAGAACCAGAGACCCTTGGGCGACGGTTCGTTGTGCGTGCACCGTCGGTTATTATGGACCGCACCGCTGCCCACCGCATGGTTTTCGACTCATTCGGCTCTCCCGTAAGCGTTTATTTCTAAGTCGCCTGTAGACAGGTTAACAAAGACCCCCCCCCCCCCCCCCCCCTCATACAGCCTTAACAAACTGTTGGGGCAAGTGCTGCTAGCGAGCACCTATGATGGCCGGCACGGCGCGTGAAGGGGGTGGGTGGTCAACGCCGCGCCCGGCCACCTTTGTCTCCCGAGTGGCGATGTTCACATACTACACCAAGTACTAATTTGAGGCTAAGTCAACCTACGGGAGGCCCAGGACCGGTTGTGATTATTGTCACTGGTGTTGGCCGTGAGTGGGAATCGAATTCGGGCCACTGGGTTCATAGCACAGCGCGCTAAACCGCTCCACTGCTGCTCCCCACAGACACGCAATCACACACACACAGGGTATGAATCTGCGATGTCTCTCACACGCGCCGGGTCTGTGTTCACAGGTCAGAGCGGCCTGGGCAAGTCGACGCTGGTGAACACACTCTTCAAATCCCGCGTCAGCCGCAAGTCGTGCACCCCCAACTACCAAGAGAGAATCCTCAAGACGGTGGAGATCCAGTCCGTTAGTCACGGTGAGGTCGCGGTGCTGAGGTGGCTGAGAAAATTCTAGGATGGTGGCAATTCTGGCAGGATGACCACGCTGGCATTGTGCCCATGCTGTGAGAGGGTTACGTTTCTGGGAGGGTGACAATGCTGTTCGGGTGACAATGTTGGAAGGTTAATAATGCTAGGAACACTGGGCCGACGATGCCGAAATAAATTTTTGTTGCTGGCTGTGGTGAGATCTGACTGCTGAAATCTCTTGGGCCTTTTTCAAATGTCTCTATCGGATGTGGCTTTTGGAGGAGCCACGCTTCAGTAGCAGCCAATTGGCCTCAAATTTGCAACCAATCACAGTCATGCATAGCTGTGCGAGGCCTCTTCAAAGATCACAACATAGGCACAGCTCTTCTTTGGAGAGGCACTTTCCGCTGATTTTTCGAGTTATACAGTAACTATCGTAGAATACATTACAGCGCTCTGTCAACCCACTGCTGGATGAGGCCTTTCCCATGCCCAAGTTGGGCATGAGGGCTGTTGGGCCCTATTTCATCACCATGGTCAGTGTGGTGCTACGAACCCCTGCGACCTGGATTCGACTCTCAGCCAGGACAAACGTCAACGGCGAATCATATGAGAACCGATCATGGGGCCTCCCTTCCTTCCTGTCCACCAACCCGCGCTCGTGGGCGACCACGCCGAGTCAGTGCGCGGCAGGGGGCCCGGGACTGATTCAGTCATCACTCGCCGCTGATGTTAGCCATGACCGCGTGTGGTGCTGGCCACCCACCCCCCTCGTGTGCCGTTCTGGCCTTCATAGGTGCTCGCTAACAGCACTTGCCCCAACAGTTTGTTAAGGCTATATGGGGGATCTTTGACTTTGTCTTTGGACCGGCAGGGTAGCGCTATGAACCCGCTGACCAGAGTTCGATTCCCGCTAACGACCACCAACATCGATCGCGGATATTTGAACCGGGCCTGGGCCTCCCATCTGCCGACTAGGACTCTCAAATGAGTACCTGGTGCGGTATGTAAATATCGCCACTGCGGAGACAAAGGTGGCCGGGTGTGGTGCTGGCCACCCACCCCCTCGTGCGCCGTGCAATCCTACGTGCTCGCTAATAGGCGCACCTCCATTTAGCGCGGTTGGCTACGTACGGTGCGAAAGAAATTCAACATACAAATGATTCCACCTTCGGGTCACCAGATGTTTGCACATCACACCAGGTACTGATTTGAGACTGAGTCAACTTAGGGGAGGCCCAGGACTGGTTTAGATAATTATTGCCTATTCCGTTTTTGGGGCGGAATGTATAATTATCATTCCGTGAGATGATTGGCGACAGGCAGCCGTCTCACCAACGCGTGCAATCGTGCCCCTCGTCATTTCGGCCTCGAAGAGGAAACCCTATCTGGCGGACGCTGAATACGCGTGCCCCTCTAAGCGTAATTTCGCTGCAAGTTGGGGGCGCGCACTTGCCGTGGAAAAAATAGACTTGCGTCCGATTGGGGCTCTCATTAAAATGTGTATAAGCTCGCTTGCTTTGAGTGTGGTGCATTCGAAGTAATTCGCTGTGATTGCACAGGGTGTCGGTTCTCAAGCACTTTGTCGTGCACGTGATGCTTAAGCGCAGTGGGTAAATTTGTTAAATTACCCCGACGACGTGGAAAATCGCCTGCTCTCGTGCCAGTGTGCGAGGTCTTCGGCACACGCGCCCACGTGTGTAGGTCTAGTATAGGCGTCATTGACGTGGGCTGAGTGTTTCGCCACCAATTAGCGAACGTTTGATGACAAATTTACTCCTCTTGCATATACGTTCCATATACGTATATGTATACAGGGTGCTTCAAAAAAATGTGAACACTTACATGGGACTATCGTTTTTAATGGCAAAAAGAACGGATAATATAAACCGTAACATGGTCACAAATGTACGTTTATAGCTTCAAAGAGTCAAAGAGTCTCCACTTGTCCGCCAACACACGCCCTGGAATCTTCTCCAGGTGGTCTCCAAAGCCCGGAGGCAGCAGCACATATCTCGTGTTGTTGTTGCAAATTCTCAGAAAGTGTAAAAAACATTTTTCAAGCACCCTGTATATGACAAAAAAAGGATCACAACGTGAAGAATCCACCCAACGCGATGGCTACACTGAGAGACGGAGCGATGGAATTAGTTAATGCGCAGGAGTGAGATGGAGTGTGGCATCGCAGGCCTGGGCGGACTTGGGACGGCATGTGGAGGCCATCATCCAGCAGTGGATTGAGAATGGCTGGCGACGATGATTATGATGAAGATGCGTGCCCATTGAGTTTTGTGAAGCAAAAAAATACATTTTGAGAATAATAACAATTTCTAAGTGTTTGATTTAAACTCTTTGGTTCTATTGGGTAAAGTCACGTAGGTGAAAATAAAATAACAAAAAATCACGACGTTTCGGCCACAACACAAGCGGCCTTCATCAGGTGAAGGGACGAGACTGTCTGGAGGACAGCGCTGGAGTGGAAGAAGCCACGCTTAGATCACGACCTTTAAGCTGTGTGAGAAGAAAACAAAGCGCCTTGACAAAGGAATTAGCATAGAATTTAGCATTGAAATAGCTGAGTGATTAGCTTGTAACTGGTCACAGAAATAGCTATGTTAAAGTCAGAGCATATACATTCACCGAAGCACCTAGTACTAATCAAACAGGAGAATTTAGCGAAACACAACCACGCTCAGACAGCGGACCTTTAAATTGTGTGCGAGCAAACAAGGTGTTCTGACAAAGAAATTAGCATAAAAATTAGAATTTGATTGGCCGATTTTAGAAAAGAGGTGGTGTACGTGCCGGTGGACTTGCCGTTTGGCGCGCGGGGGGGGGGGGGGGGGGGGAGTTTACCTATTGATGGTGTGAAAAGGGAATTTATAAGAGCTGCGAAAGTTTGGGGTACCACTACTTGAAAAAATATACTGTACCATTGAAATTAGTTTAATGTTGTGATCTAAGCGTGGCTTTTCTCACTCCAGCGCTGTCCTCCAGACAGTCTCGTCCCTTCACCTGATGAAGGCCGCTTGTGTTGTGGCCGAAACGTCGTGATTTTTTGTTATTTTATTTTTACCTACGTGACTTTACCCAATAGAACCAAAGAGTATGGATCCTAGCAGTCACGAAAGCTTTAAATCTAGAATTGTTTGATTTAAAGCTTTCGTGACTGCAGGGATTCATATTCTTGGTTCTTTCGGTAAAGTCACGTAGAAGGGAAACAATAAAATAATAAAAACATAAAGCCATACAATTCTCACGACGTTTCGACTGCAACACAAGCAATCATCATCAGGTGTGATTGCTTGTGTTGCAGTCGAAACGTCGTGAGAATTGTATTGTTTTATATGTTTATTATTTTATTGTTTCCCTTCTACGTGACTTTACCGAAAGAACCAAGAATATAATTTCTAAGTGATAACATGTACGTGTGATGTAGTATGTATTACTCTCTCTCGACCAAAATTACTGTTTCTGTTCATCCACTTGGCACGTTAGGCCTTCTTTAGGCCTGTGATTTTAAAGTAAACAGAAAAAAATCATAGTGAAGAAGATGCACATGGCATGAACTCGTGCACGTTGTGTTTGTGAATTTAAAAAAAAAAATCAATACAACTGTTTTAATATCGAACAGCTTCAATTCACCCACGGTGCTGTTTTGTACCATATGGAGCGTGTAACCTTTTTAACCTCATCAAATGTTGGCCTTGTCTTGAGACGTAAAATTTCATAGAAAACAGAAAACAGACCGTGTCACGCACAGTGCACGTAACTTACACTGATGTGCGTTTTGGTAAAAAAAAGTAACTTTTTGTTTTGTTTTTAGAAAGACTGAATCATAAATATGTCAATTGGCCAATGAGTGTAAAATCTTCACCGGTCCCAAGGGGCCCCCTTGGTTGCTGTCAAGATGAAGACTCCATAGCTGAGTCAGAATCAGGCCGTCTATTTCTGCGCTTGCTGCCAACAAGACAACCGCGGTGTCACCACGTCTTGGGTTAGCCTCTGGACCCCGGTGCATTGCTTCATTTATTTGCCTAACTTTGCCTCCGCACGCTTGAATGCCTTTTTCTTGGTTGGAAATCTGAGAAAACAAATTAATACCTGGGGCTCTGCCCCCACCCCCGCCTCACCAGTGCACTTTGATGATGGGGGCAGGGGGGCTTTAAGGAGGGGGTTGGGTGCTGAACAAAAAACAAGTACATCAATCAGTGGTTTGCAAATACTTGGCTTATATTAACATAAGCCAATCGAAGTTATTACCACTCCATGGGTTTGCGCAGTTTTCCTGTGTAGTCATCTCAGCCAGTCAAGCCATAACACGTGGCTCTGTCCCGTGACCTGCCAGCTGCCAGTCTTCCACACTTCACGTAGCGTCAAGGTGCACCTAGCCTGGCACAAGCGCCGTGGTGATGTCACCGTCACTTCGTGGTGAACGGCAGTTGTTTTTGCCGCTGAAATATCTGTTATGTGTGTGTTCGGGTTGTACCACGTGGCGTTCTGCACGGCATCCCAAGTTTCACTCCACGTACTGCGAGATTCAAATCCTGAAAAAGCTTCCAGCACGTGGAACGAAATATCATACATCGTAAAATGCACCTTTAAAAAAACACACACATTCAAAGCAATTCGTATTATGGTGCAGTCATAATTTGTTCAAATATCCTTCTCTTATCAGATGAGTGACCTCGAAATCTTTGCTAAATTCTTTGCACATATGTTCATTGTACAACAGACCTCATTACAAATTGTGTTCCGTAACGCTTCCTCAAGAACACGATCACGAAACTGCATCAATCCTCGACTGTAGCGGAGCGTTTCTTCGCGCGAACGATGGACGCTTTGCCGAGCAGAAGCCTGGCCCCCGCGGGGCGAATAGCGGCGCTCAATTCAACCGTGAAAACGGTGACAACCCAAATCACGGCCCTGCCTCGCTGACCCTTTCGCACCGCGGCGCCAATAGAATCGTGTGTTCCCGTCGGGGCCTGCGCTAGCTGACGTGTGCTCTGCCTCCCTGCCCCGTTCGCCGCTGTGCCGTCGGTGCAGTCATCGAGGAGAGGGGCGTGAAGATGAAGCTCACCGTTATCGACACGCCCGGGTTCGGGGACCAAATAAACAACGAGAATTGGTGAGTCCCCTTCAACAGGGTCTGATCGGCGCGAGCGGCTACGCACGGGCGCGAAAGAAGTTCAGCGTACATGTGAAAATCGTGGTTCTGTCTACTCTTCAAACGTGGATAATATTATTTTGTGTTTGTGCGTTTTTGCTGGTGGTGTTTATTATGTACACATAATTAGCAGGTTTGAAGACAATGTGAAAAAATGTGCATCTTATCGGCGTGAAATAGTCGGTCAAATACACGCCGAAAGGAATCTCTTTTTTGAGCTTCCGTCTGACGGCAGTGGTGTGGGCAAGCGATGTCATTGCTGCACCTTTACCTTTAACTGTGTATGTGGTTGATGGTAGAGAAACATTTCCTAAACCCGACTTGCTTCCATGGTTGGCTGGCTTCTAATGTTGTAGTTATTCTGTCCCCAATGATCTTCGTGAACAGTTTATGGACATGAACAGAGGGGCTAATGGGTGGTGTAATTCTTCAAGTAAATTTGATCACCGCTTTGAAAAGAAAAAAAAAATTGACGCGGAATAATTCAGGCGTAGGATTTCATACTCTCTGATGCGTTTGGGTGCTGCAGCGTGTCGTTCGGCACGTTGTCCGTCGTTTCGCTCCACAGGCCGGGAGCTTCAGTTTGTTTGGCAATGATAATCTTCCGTGTTGCTCCGCGTGAACTGAAAGCCACCCAGCGTGTGGAGCGAAACTCGGGACAATCGTGCAGACGAACGTGCGGTACTCTCCGGAAACACATCGGAGAGCTTAGCCCGAAGGTTTTTGCTACGGCACGCGATGTGATGTTGTATTTGTGCGCAATAATCTGAAACGCCTTTGTAGATTACGGAACACTCAAAAGTGCACGTGCGCGCTCCATATGAAACCGACATGGAGAATTTAACGGCAATTGAATTCTTACTTTTGCATTTTGCTTGTAAAAACACGCCCTCTGCTAACGATGCCAGGATGCACTCGTGCGTGAGCGTCTGAGCCTCAGTTAGCGAGACTCTGAAGGCAAACTGTGCTGTCATATGGTTGTTATTATTCACTAAATTACATGAATGCTCACTACATGCATGGCTGTGCTCGCCCATCTATAAAGGAAGAGTGGCCTCAAGGGCAATGACTCACTTTAGAAGGGTACGACCCCAAATCCTCCTTCTGAACTGGTTATTAGACGACAAATTAAGCTAAAACTAAGCAATGTTTTATTTTACCGGGTAAGGCTCGCTCAGCTATAGAGCTCTTTTTCAGAAGCGACCTGGCCACAAATGATGGCTCAACGACCCATCATGTGGAAATTTATAGCAGCCCAATGCTCTAAGCGCATGCACACTACAAATATACAGGCGTCAGGTTTGGGATCGAACCCATAACCCCTGCGTGCCAGGCGAATGCACGTGGTGTTATCGAGAAGCAGCTTGAGAGTAGCGGTAATAATAGTAATACATTTAATAACAACAAGCAAGTATTTCCAGAGTAGTTTATTTTATATTTGTGAGCAAAGCCTCGTCTTAGGCCATGACGTTTTTTTTCTGTCACAAAGACGTTAATAGTTACAAAAGAATAAAACGTAATTTAAAGCAAGTTCCAAAATGTAATTCGCGAATATTTCCACTACATGATTATCCATTGATTAGAATCGATCAAGATGCATGAAGCAAATCATACATGTGTAATACTGCGATCATTTGAGTACTATTTATGTATATAAAATGCAAATGATATGCAAATGTTATATTTAGGCCAATGCAGCGAAAATTAAATTGTACTAAAGAGATAGAATAGATGAGACGACTTCCATCACAGGGAATCTACTATTTTATAGTTATTTGACCGTGTGCAATATTTTAGATTTTTCTCATACGACGCTGTTGTTTTTTTGCCCCGAGTTCTATTTGTTTAATTGCTGTGATTAACTTTGATTTATTTTCCACTTGTCATTTTGGTGAACCAGGGTCTCTCTGGCAAATCAACATTATCCCTGCTCTCTTTTTATTTCCCACCGACTTAAACAAATAAACTCGTCTTTATCCTCTGCCATACGAATGTGGACCTTTCATCACCCCTGTCAACAGTGGTGATGAGTTCGAGCAAAGGAGATAGGTGTGTCGGTATGTTGAACTTCTTTCGCACCCTACGTAGCCAACTGCGCTAATCGGAGGTGCGGGTGGAAGGACAAACAAACTAAATACCAAAAGCAGTTCTAAAGAAATGAGTTTTCAATCTAGATGATTTAACAGCGCGTAGCTCCAGTGACTTCCAATGATCAGAAGGAAGAGCATTCCAGACGGCCACAGAAGCGCATCTGAAAGCGGGTGATGCAGTGACCGCCGTTGTTCGATTGATAGCCAAAAGCGGTTTGCCAGGATGCATTTTGTCTTACTCATCCAGGCTGGCCAAACGCCTTGGGCATACCCACACTTTACCCCACCACAAGCAATCTGCTAATGAATGCTTGAAGTGAAAAAAACTGGAACGTGCACAATGAATTCGGGAGTTTGTCTTTGTCGAGAAAATATACCAACACGTAGGCTTTTCGCGACCAATATTATTCATAGTAAACGTTTTTGGGTGGTGGAGGGTTACGACACATTTATAAATAACGCGATCTAACCCAAAAAAACGTTTATTGTGAAAAATGTACCAAATTTATCAGCGTGGATGCATCTCAGTAAAAGATGTTGTTAAACGACAGGGATGTGACCCACCCCCTCCGTCCGCTTTGTGCCCCCCCCCCTCCCCTCCCCCCGGTGTTGCGTGCCGCAGCTGGGAACCCATCCTCAAGTACATCGGCGAGCAGTACGAGAAGTACCTGCGTGAAGAGGTGCGCATCACCCGCAAGCGCCACATCCCCGACACGCGTGTGCACTGCTGCATCTACTGCATCCCGCCCAGCGGCCACTCGTGAGTGGATTCCGAGTTGCAAATGTGCACGTTTCGGATGTATTTATTTTTTGCTGCTGCAGATTCATCGTTCGCCTTCATCAGCCACTCTCGCCATCCGCCGCTGTGCTAACAGGCTGCCGCTCGTAAATCCCGCTGAGCGAGAAATCCATCCGGCTCTCGCGCACGGGTTGATTTCATTGCTCCGTCTCCGCAGGGGGATGTTACCCCTCGGGTTTAATTCGCTCCTGCGGCTGCCACTCCCACCATTAGTCCCGACCGTTGGCCCAAGCCCCCGTCTCTTAACGTGGACGGTGGGCTTACTTTTCACGTTTAACTTTCGTTTCTTCTCTGATCCACGTGCTCCTCTGCCTGTAATTGCAAGCTTATAGCTCTCCATGGATTTTCAGCACACATTGGCAGCCTCTTGTTCCCAGTCATTGTCCATGTTTTTCGATCCATAAGCCATAGCAGGTAATGTACACAGATTTAAAACCAATTTTCTGCCGGGACATTGGTATTCTGCTTTTCATTATGAAGGTCGGTTTTTCAAAAGCACATATCTGTTCTCACCCAACTCTGTATTTCATCAATTTAATCCCAGGCTGCCTGGAATCAAACGAATGAATGACGCATAATACACTAAAAAATTCCGCGTAACATCCAATTGCACGTATGTTTAATCATGGGTTATTTAATTGCAGTATTTTGCTTACTCGGGGTAATTTTTTCAAATTTGACCACTTTGAGCCGTGACCCTTGCAAAAATGCCCTCTTTCAAATTATATCGCAGTCTTTAGCATTTCGCTTCACAATCCCATGTTGTCTGGCTTTGATAATGCGCTGCATTTATTCCTTGCTTGGAAGCCGAATACAAGTGACTTCGCCTTCGTAACCTCGGCCTCATTGGCAAACGCATCAACCGACTAGGCCATCCATCTAGCCAGACCACATAAAATGTCATTGACGTCTTCTGGAGTCGTTTTCAAAAAATGTGTGTGTGGGTTTATTTTTTATTTTTTACCAAAGTATTATAACAAGCAAGCATTAATGAGCGAAGCAACAATGGGGACAAGTTTTATGGACGTAATTTTCGAGGAGAATCAATCGTTGTGCCTGCCAGGTCAGTATGAGGGAGCAGATAATCTTCTGGACTTTTCACCGTCTTAGAGGAAGACAGAGCCAATACCAAGGATCTTTGCAAACCCACGGGTTTTTTTTTTTATCAGAGATTTGTTCACGAGGCAATTCAGATCTATAAACACAGACACAATTTCAACCGAGAAGATGGTTTCAAATTAAGCAACCATTGGAAAGATGTTCTAAATCGAACCAAACATTAAACTAATTTTCAATGGTACAGTATATGTTTCAAGTAGTGGTACCCCAAACTTTCGCAGCTTCTTAAAATCCCCTTTTCACACCACCAGCATGTGGATGCTACCTTGCCCCCTCGCCAGCCTGCACAGGTCGACCCCCTCCCTACCTTTCATCATGCTAAGTCCGCCTATTAAATGCAAATTTTATGCTAATTACTTTGTCAAGGCACCTTAATTACTCTCACACAGCTTAAAGGTCGCGGTCTGAGCTTGGCTGTGTTTCACTCCAGTGCTGTCCTCGAGGCAGTCTGGTCCCTTCACCTGATGAAAGCCGCTTGTGCTGTGGCCGAAACGTCGTGATTTTTGTTGTTTTATTTTTTACCTACGTGACTTTACCGAATAGAACCAAAGAGTATGAAGACAGAGCCCCCTCTACCTCCCCTCACAAAAAAAATCAAGCTTTTGATTTTGAAACCAAAACAAGCTAAGCTTGGCCGAGCCTGGTTCGTGCTTGGCAGGGGCACCGTCCGTGGATTAGAGACTATGGGGCCACGTGGTGGGCAGCAGTGGGCAGTGTATCAAAATCCCTCGTTTCACCCTACTTCTACGCTCCCTATGATTATAATCTCGCTGCCGTCACCGCAACGCGAACGGACCAGCGGTGGTGAAGTATGGCCAAAACAACCCTCGTGGGAATGCATCAAAAGTGTTTCATTCGTCAGAGGGTGCGGGGGGGAGGGGGCGTGGATATTTTTTTGGTCGTTTTTATTTTATTTTGTTCGGGGCCTTCAACATTTTTGGCACGGGCCTGCGCTTGTTTCTGCGGCCCACGCGTGCAACACTCGGCGCGGGAAGTTGCCTGCGTGGTGAGAAGTCGCCTCGTCACGGATCACTGTCCCCGTCCGATGCCGGAGCCGCTGTCGAGGACGGGGCGACAGATTTGAAAAAAAAAAAAAACCTCCCCGTAAATGTGTGTGTGTGTGTGTGTTGAACTTCTTTGGCAGCGTACGTCTTCTTTAACTTGAAATATAAACTTTACTCGATGTGGTATTTAACCACATCGTGTTTCCTCGATTGCAGGACACACTTGACTTAGTGATAAAACAACAAGTTTAGAGCCTTAATATTAATACAGTAGGTGTGCTTTGGCAGGATGTACCATGGCCTAGAAGGGATGGACCATGGTCGAGACTAATGATGGAGTGGGAGTCAAAGGATAGATCAGGTCCAAGAGAATGTTAACCATAACGATGTATGTATGTGTGCATGTTGGACTTCTTTCACGCCGTACGTAGCCAACCGCGCTGAACGGAGGTGCGGGGGAAGGACAACGGTCTAAAATCTCGAGTTGACGAGAGCTAAACGTGTCTAACACCGACCGTGACACCCTGAAGCCCTGAGATGAGAATCGCTGCGTGCTCTCGACACGGAATAAATGGAGCCCTTTAAGTTTTTTTTTTTTTCCGAGCCCATCGCACGCCCTACTGTTTTATAAGCCACGATAGCATTCTCCTATGCTTACTGCGCAGGGCGGCTTAAGTGTGTGAGTGTTTTAATATATATATGTAAACGCTAATATTCATAGTCTGCACACCTTTGTAAAATCAACAACTGCCGTGTAATGGCTCACACAAAAAAAAAATGGCCTGTTATCGCATGTGAATGCACCGCATTTATATCGGTTAATGATCGATTTAATGTACTGCCCTTCAACTGCTGGATGAAGGCCTCTGCACTCAGTGTAGGCTGTCACGGGTTGTTTGACCATACTTCACCGTGTTGATCAGTGCAGGTTGGTGAAAAGATGGCTCGGGACCCAGTTAAAAAACTAAGGTCAGTGGGTTTGTAGCGCAGTGCGACAAACCACTGCACCACACCTCCCATCCCCTGCAGAAAATGTATTCCCGCGGCGTTTAAATTGATGTAAACACAAAATGGCATCCGCTCTGTATATCAAACATTATAAATCCAAGTTAAGTGCTTCGCTTATTAAATATTTGGTATCGCCCCATAAATGCAGTCGGTAACAATTCTCAGGCAGAACTTGCGCGACGATTTCGTACATCATCCATCCTGTCATTTAAATTTACCGTGCGATCCGTAAGCAATGGATTTATGCGTAAAGATCCCAAACGGTCGCCTCCAATGACGAAGACCGAGTCTATAAATCAAGATGCAGTTCGACACTTGCAAGACGAAGGGAAATATTTATGTATTTGTTTATTCGGCAAGGATATCGCACGCGGACATTTTAACAGCCGCTCCTTTTGTGTGCATTGGCACCTTGTACGCGCGCTGTAATATAAGTCAGTCACTTGTGATTTCCCCTCCTAAGGTAATGTATGAGTGCATCTTTCTGGCAAACGGCGAACAGGCAGTTAAATGTCCGTGCTTCGACGTGCCAATTGGCACGTTTCCTTCTCAACAGGCTTGCATCGAGGTGAATGAAAGAAAGAAAAAAAACACGGAGAATTGGAAAAGCACCGGCGATGTTTGAATAAAAAATTCGAAGGCATGCAACCCGGGTCGCGAATGCTGGGGCGAAAATAAAAATGTAAAAATGGATGTGGCAATAAATTGAGCAGGCGAGACCCAGATGCCGCTGCTGCTGCCGCTGCTGCCGCTGGGCCCCGCCAAGGGTCCCCGTGGCCTGGCACGCGAGGCTTCCGCTGCCACCACGGTGGCCACGGGGCGCTCGCCGTAGCCAGTCGGAGCGAAGCGCCCTCGCCGGATCGGTCGCTTTCGTATGTGCGTCTGCGCACGTTGAACTTCTCCCGCACGCTACGCAGCCAACCGTGCTCATCGGAGGTGCGGGGGGAAGGACACACAAACTAAGCGCAAAAAGCAGTGTCACAGAAATGAGTTTATGTATTCATGAACCTCAGAGGGCTTTTCCATGGCTAATTAGCCCTCACCGGGTCTATAGACTAGAAACTTCGCAAGGTCGCAGAATGTCAAGATTTTTAAATAGGGTCCGATATTAATGAAGCAATAAACACGCAATACATTTTATCTGCTAAATATCGATAGCTTACCGATCTTCATGGTCTCAAGGTGGGGGCAAAGGGGGGAGGGGGGGCGACCAGGGGGGGTGGGGGGGGGGAAATACCCCACATTACCCTTCTCCCCCTTGGATCTGCCACTGCATTGAGTGGCAGTGAGTGAGTGAGTGAATTACCAAGAGAGTGAGTGACCGAGCGAGTGAGTGAGTGACCGAGCGGGAGAGTGAGTGAGTGAGCGAATGAGCAAGAGGGAGTGAGCGGGCGATGGAAGACCTCGGCGAGGCTGACCACGTGCCGGGGAGGAGGTGAGCGACCCTCACGTGCCCCGGCTGTTCCGTGCGCTCAGGCTGCGCCCCCTGGACGTGGAGTTCATGCAGCACCTAAGCAAGGTGGTGAGCGTGGTGCCCGTCATCACCAAGGCGGACACGCTCACGCTGGAGGAGCGGCATCTCTTCCGGCAGAGGGTACGTTACGCGCACGCATAAACTCGCACACACGCGCACGCACACAGGGTCAGACTGGTACACGGGGTGGGGGGAGGGGGTTGGGGGGGGGTGGTGTGGCCTGTGCGAAGACAGGCCTCCTTTGTCTCCCCAGTGCTGGTGATTAAACAGTGCAGGAGGAACTAATTAAAGGATAGGTCGACCTAGGGGAAGCCCAGGACTGGTTCAGATAACCGCCACTGATGTTAACCATGGCCAGGAATCAAACTAGGGCTGACCGGTTTGGCCATTTGATATTATGGGCATTTGGGGTTGCGCTCAGCCTTTAGTAAAATAAATTGCAGGCTTTAATCAGTGCTTGCTTAACAGCACTTTCCTAAACAGTGCGTACAGCTTTACGGGGGGAAATGTACCTTAGTTACAGCTCCGTGCTGATTGTATATCTACAGAGTGCCACTGGCAGTATTTTTCGTGAAGGTGCATAGTTGGGATAGGATCCTGTCAGATCGGTATCTCCGCCTGTGACTCGTGGGGCTTCCTATGATTGATTTTTCACGGACAGAAACATTTCAAACGAAGAATGTTAAGTGTGCGATTCGAACGCATCCCTGCTGCTAAAAGGTACGAGGGAAATAATTATGGCGCGGAGGCTGTGGCGATAACACGCTCGCCCTATCAGAATCTGATACTTTTGTTTGGCGCATTCCCTTGGCGTTGTCCAAACTTGGCGGCTAGGGCATACTTGTTGCAACGTCAACATTCGAGCTCAGTCAACCCAGCGCTGTGGGGTCGCCATGGTTTTTTGGGGCAAGAACTCGCGGCGCCAGACTTAATACAGGCAATGCCATTCCTTTTAAAACAAACACTCTTAAAAAGAGGCACGCGGTAAACATGCCCGAGGCACGCGGAATCAGATGGCAGGAAAATTGCGGAACGAGAAGGAAACGTGTGCAGCGTGAGTGAAAGTGGCACAACAAAATGAATTGGGACAAGTGAAGTGGATATTAAGCAGGCCAAAAAAATGTAACATACATACCTCTGGAATAAATATTCTGTCTACGAAGCCAGGCCTTGCATGGCCATTCAATCTAAAATAACTGCAATATGTGGCAAATGTACAAATATATATATGGGATGTGCAGCTTAAAAAATGGACACAGGCAAATGGCATTGTGGTTAGAATGCTCAGCTCTCAGTCGGAAAAGTGCGAGGTCTCCGATGTGTTCTCGGGTTATACGGCGTGTTATTTGGCAAGACGTTCCAGAATTCGCCCCACATGCTGGGAGCTTCTTCGGGAACTGAAGAATTCTTTATTCACTTCCTGAAAAAGGTTGCCAGCGCGTGGAGTGCAAAAATCGGACATCACGCAACACGCGGTACAACCAGAAAACTCACGCGAGAGTTAAAGAGCGCAACGGCGATAAACCGCGTGTTCAGATTCCAGCTGGGAGTCCCCTCAGCCCATGAATTGATCCTCTTGGAGCAATAACATAGGTGCAGATTTTTTGTTGTTGTCAACAGTTGCCATAATAAAGTGAAAACGATCCAAAGCCAGACAGCGTAGGACAGACAGTGTGAGATCACAAACGAGGGGCTGGACGGTTGGGATCTAGCAGGGGGGAAAGCGATGGCGGAACAAAGTGCAGTGGCGTCTAATTTGCATTGGCCGCGGTGACCCCTTGACCTCGTGTCGAATGACGTCACTGCACCGCGTCACGTTTGACCCGTGTGCAGATTCAAGCGGACCTGGTGGCCCACGGGATCGACGTGTACCCCCAGCGTGAGTTTGACGAGGACGAGCAGGGCCGGCTGGAGAACGCCGAAGTGAGGGTAAGCTACGGGCGGGAGCATGATAACACAAACGTAAAAAAAAAATAACCCATCAAAATGTATTTACGTACGTACGTTGAATTTCTTTCGCGCCGTACGTAGCCAATCGTGCTAATCGGAGGCGCAGGGAAAAAATGTTATTCATAATAAAGTTTTCCGCGTTACATCGCGTACGATTAAATATGCCATTAACCCACCAAAAGACTGACTATGACGGTGCTGTATTTAATAGCGAGTTTTAATAAAACGCTATGTATAGTAAGGTGGCGCTTTGACAACTTGACAGAAGCCGTTATGACCTGATGCAGCTAATTGTAATGTCTCGTAGCAGTGATCAAAGTGGAGTCACAACATCTGTTGACTCCTGCCATCTCTCGAGTGGCAGCGAAATGGAACGACTCATTTCGCTACATTTACATTTTCCGAAGCGATGCCGCAATTTGCTCTCCACCGAATTTTCCCGCTGCTGCCAACTCTTTATATATATTCATAAACAAGGGTTTTGGATTCGATCGCATACATAAAAATGTCCATTTAACCCACCACCACCACCACCACCCGACGCAGGCAATTAGTAAGGTTTTTTGTCAAGCAAACAAAACATGCAAATTAGTTACTACTTCAGCACATCGGTGTGATTATGGCGAGTAAACCAATGACATTTACCATTTGAGTAACGACTTTTTGCTGGTGATACCAACCAGCTTTATCAGGACATTTTTCCCGAATTGTGAACAAGTCTTCCTGTTTGCGGTCTCAAATAGAGCAAGATGATGTGCAAAGATCAAAGGAGGGGGTGATTGTAATGATATAAATTATGATGGATTATGTTAATCTGAAAAATATGAAGGTCATCTTACCAGATGGGTTAATCGCAGTTCATCGTTATGAGTGTTATTAAGTACGAAGATCAGAGGGGGGTTTATTATTATTTATTATGTAAATTATAATGGTTTACGCGGACGCAAAAACCTTTGTTACGAATAATATATCCCCCATGAAGTCCTCACAGACTGTTGGGGCAAGTGCTGTTAGCGAGGCCTCATGACTCATTAGGGGGTGGGTAGCCAACACCACCCTCGGCCGCCTTTGTCTCCCCAGTGGCGATGTTTACACATTGCACTAGGTTACTCATTTGAGCTTGAGTCGACCTAGGGGAGGCGCAGGAGCCATATCAGATAATCTGTCACCGGTGTTGGCCGTGAGCGGGAATCGAATTCGGGTCGCCGGGTTCGTAGCGCAGCGAAGCGCTAACCGCTGCACCACCGCTCCCCACATTATGACTAATATTGGCCGCGAAAGTCTGCGTGTTGCATTGCCAATGTCACTTCTCGCTGCTGGTTAACGCGGCTCGGCTCGAACTTGCCCATCCAGGTGGTGCTTTGGCGGGAGTGTTTGACTGTCAATCACAAAGACACGTGCACACGTGCATAATGGTCATTATTTTTCTTCCACGAATAAAAAAAAAACCTCGTTGAGGATAAACTAAGCACACGAATACCTTCGCAAAGTGTGTGTTAGGAACTGAACGTTACAAAAGGCAACGATACATTTTTAGGATGTTCATGAGTCAGTGCCAAACACACACACACGCATTAAATCCCCCAATAGGCAATTTAAAGCAATGCATCAAAGATCCTAAAGGTAATGGGAGAAACGGCCCAAGCCTTTCCACGAGGCTGTGTTGGTTTAATAACGGACGAAAGATGGGCACGGCTTCCCTTCACAGAATGATCAATGGAACGTGACTTTAATTTATTTCACCGTCTTTTAGAGTGGGGGACATTCCGAGCTAAAGCGCCACGCACCTGCCTAAGTTACACAAGGAATGTTGGAGTTGCGTGCGAATGGGATATTTACCGTTGGACTTTCTGTTCCGTCCAGCGGTGTGAGAGGAAGGAAGGGAAGGCGAACCCTTTTATAATGCAAGAACCCATCAAGACATTTCATTCGTAAATATAATTGATTTCCTTCTGCCCAGTCATTTAAAAACATATTTTACTAAGATGCATCGAGCTGATAAATTTCGTCACTTTTCTCTATAAAGACAAACTCCAGAATGAATTGGGCACGTACCATCTTTCTATTCGAGGCATTCATTAGCAGATCGCTTGTGGTGAGGTAAAGTGTGGGTGCTCCCAAGACATCGGGCCAGCATGGAACTGGTGGCCAAAATTCAAAATCACTGCGGCTTTTGGCTCACCATCGAACAGAGACGCGCTTTTCAGATGCGCTTCTGTGTCTGTCTGAAACGCTTTTCCTGCTGATGTTAGTAAGCCACCGGAGCTAGGCACTTTTCAATACAAATTCACTCATTTCTTTACCACTACTTTTTGTGTTCAGTTTGTTGTCCTTCCCCCGCACCTAACGCACGGTGCGAAGTAATTCTAGCATACATACAAAATACGCTCTAAGTGAAGGCCCTTTTGCTCAATAATTGTACGTTGAAGCTTCCACCATCTCTGGCATCGGAGCTCTTAGAAGAGTTGAATTCTCGTTTCCGTGGGTCGAGCGTTGTATTCCTTACGGTGGCTCACGATTGGAGTAATCGTCTTTTTCGAACTATGAAAGTCCCTCGTACGGCGAAGTCACCGTTTCTTATAATTTAACTTTAATCGGATACGCAAAGTTCGTTTGTGGGCAGGTCGCAGCGCGCGCTCGGGTTTAGTGCGGCTGCTGCCACCTCTTCCAAGAGCTCCTTCCAGCGGGAGGCCCTTTGGTCAGCAGTGGCGTGAGCAAGCACTTGCAGCGCTGCACCTTTACCATGTCACCTCTGCCACAGACACGACGCGCTTCGCTGGCAAGGCCTCCTTTGTGTGCGGCCAGCAAAACGGAGGATTGCCAACTTGAAAAAAAAGTACAGGCGCGCCCTTTGAAAAAGGGGTGTGGATGGGGTGTACCGTAACTCATAGCGCAACTACAATTTAAATTCCTCAACCCCGTCGAAAGCGAGTAATTTCTTTAGACAGGCGTGATTTCATTATGTATTTATTGTGTGTGTGTGTGTTATGTCACTCGTTTATTTCGAGTAAGTGTTGCTTATCCCCCCCCCCTCCTGCACCGCTCACCATCGTGGATAATTCACGTGGATTTTCCCCGTCCTCGAAAAAAAAATGCATTTCTTGCTCTTCACGTATGATAAAGTATTTGACGAAAAGTGCCCTCCCAGCTTATCTATTGCCCTCAATGTATCTCTCGTGAAGCGCCATCACTGGTAGGTACGGCGGAGGGGTTATTCAATAAAAACTAAATTTTGACACGGGGATCTTTTAAAATTACAGGAAGGGAATTCAAATACCAGGTACGGGGAGCGACTTGCGTTGGTTTTGTTGCAGGTGGCCGCACTCAATCACGAGCCAATTAGGACATTCATGCGATGTAATTAATGAAGTGGCTGCACGTGTGTCTCTGCTCTGGAGAAGGGGGGGGGGGGTGGTTGCGGGGAGTCAAGGTCTTTGCGCACCCTTCAGCTCTGGAACACATCTAAGCCCGGAGGAATGTGTTGGAGGGAAGAAAGATAGACGCATTTGAAGAAGGCTTTTCTGAAAACTCCGGTCTTCACGACTATACCACCATGCTCCGCCTTTCTGCGTTCACCAATTTACCCCCCCCCCCCCCCCCCCCATTAAAATATAAGTTCACTAGTTCTACGCTGCACGCGCACAATTATTGTTAGACACGCCCCCACATGACGCGCTAATGAATGTTGAACTTTTTTCGCACCGGACGTAGGAATCGTGCTCGTGTCTGTACGTGTATTTCTATGTATGCATGCATGCACGTGTATTTGTATGTATGTACGTTTATTTGCACGCATACATGTACGTGTATTTATGTATGTACATATATTTGTATGTATGTACGTGTATTTGTACGTATGCGTGTACGTGTATTTGTATGGATGTATGCATGTACGTGTATTTGTATGCATGTACATGTATTTGTTGGTGAATGGATCAAATACCACTTGATAGGGAAATTGTAACTGCGGTTTCTGCACTTTGCTCCAATACCAATGACCCACGTGAAATGTCTGGGTATGTACAACGTCGTTGGCAAGTGGCACCTGAATGTGTCCTGTAACCTGCTCTTGGTCAAAATGAGTAACTGCTGCCATGTGTTCAACATCAACACTTCGGATACAATTTGGGCCCCGTGTGTTTATTGGCCCGACACTATTGCCACGTGTGAAGCGTCAGTGCTAAAAGCTGTTCGCTCGCACTGCAGCGAACGTTTGGAGTTTGGCGTGTTTCGTTTTCACAGTCGGTAATATGCCACGCGCACTGTGCTGATGTTATCAGATCTTGGGAGTGTTGAGGCTGGCAATCTGCTTGGGTGGTTAACTGCAAGGACGAGCCAAGCAAGGCATTATGAGGCTCTTGCGTGGGACTCCGTGATGGGTCGGCCAAGGGCAGTGCGGCAAAAATCTATGCCCGCCTTTACCAGCCAGCACTGAACGGCTTTGGTGAAGTATGGTCAAATGACCCTCCACACAACCCCGTGGGGTATTGAGAGGGCCTCGTCCAACAGTAGCTTGACGATGGTACCGTGTACGTGTGTCCACGTTTACATCCCAAAGAACGCTTTTTTTAAATTGACCTTCCTATATCCTTGGTTCTTTCGGTGAAGTCACGTAGAAGGGAAACAATAACATAACACATTTTCTTGCTGTGGTTTTCACACCTGATGATGATTGCTTGTGTTGCAGTCGAAACGTCGTGAGAATTGTATTGTTATGAGACCTCCTTTGCCAGTAGCAAGATATAGTAATAGGTTTTTACCCTTTTAACTGGCACCAATACTGACACTTTTATGCAAGGGATCATGTTTGCAATAACCACAACACAAGCGGTCAAAATGCAAACAAAAAGAGACAACTGATAATGATATGCACTGTCCTTGAAATTGATTGGTCCACACCCGAGCTCGGGGTAAGCATTTACATAATGTAACCATTTACATAATCGAATTCATAATGCATTTACATAATGTAAATGCTTACCCCGAGCTCTCAATACTCTGATAGTGCGCTGTTTTTGAGTTGTATGCCTTTTGGCGTCACCTGGTCCAACACCATGTGAGACTAGGCTCTAAGAAAAGCCGTCTCGGGTGTGGACCAATCAATTTCAAGGACAGTGCATACATTATCAGAGTTGTCTCTTTTTGTTTGCATTTTGACTGCTTGTGTTGTGGTTATTGCAAACATGATCCCTTGTATAAAGGTGGCAGTTTTGGTGCCAGATAAAATGGTAAAAACCTATTACTATTACAATTTTATTGTTTTATATTTTTATTATTTTATTGTTTCTCTTCTACGTGACTTTACCAAAAGAACCAAGAATATGGGTCCCTGCAGTCACGAAAGCTTTAAATCAAAAATTGACCTTCCCATGTTATGTTTTTTTTATGCGGTGTTTTGTTTTAAAGTAATTTTATAGGATGATCAGTCGTAATAATAGCGTACATTTATCAACATCCTAAAAACAAAGCACAAGGAAGATGTATGCCAAAGGACTAGTAAACCGATTATAAAGCCGATCAAAAGAATAAATGCTTTCCCTGAACAAGAAGGTTCTCGTGCACAGAGCGAATGATGGGGAGGACTTGCCGTGTCTCTGCATTCTTTCTGCTCGTTCTGTTTCGTTCCCTCTCGCAGGAAAAGATTCCATTTGCGGTGGTGGGAAGCGACCGAGAGTACCAGGAGAACGGCAGACGAGTGCTGGGACGCAAGACTCGCTGGGGCCTCGTAGAAGGTAACGCGATACCCACGGGCAGCCAATTCAAACCCGAAGAAACCCAAGACGTCCGCCTAATTGCCTTTTTATCCCTTTTTCCACTCCGATGGCGTACGTCGTCAGTTTTGATTCCGGTTCCGGTGACGGTTTCGATGACGTACGTGAACCGCTTTTGAAGTTTTTCTCCCGATTAATTTATGTTCAGTTTCAGTTTCATTTATTTGGTGTAGCCCTGTGAGCCATGCGGCTCTTGACTCGGGTGCAACCGCAAAGAAACGAAAACATGAACAAGAAAACATCTTAAAGTGACTGCACGCAACAGAAAAATCATGGGAAAAAACAGCAAAGTCTTCCAGAAAAAGCACCGCATTTCAACGCTGTGTGCAAAAATCCCAGTGGGATGCAAGTCAAACAATAACAACCATAAGACAATGCAGATTAAGGTTATCAGGCTAACTCTGTACTACAACAAACAAACATGGCTAAACTAAAACGTTTTCAAAATCACCAAAATGAAGCTATGAAAACAATGTTACAGTGATCATAGGAATTGTGAATCAAATTTAACAATAAACGATATACATAACATGTACGATCAAACTTTGCAGCCACAGTTGGCTGTAATTAGGGCTGTATCTTCTTAGTTCCCGGCGAACACTGTCCTGTGTGCCGATTCAACTGAAAACCATAAGTATAATGCCAAGTTAAAGACGAGGTAGAGTATTATGATGTTGTCTTTGTGCCGTCATTGGGTGTCCAGGCTCAGACCATCAACTCACTTCGCTGTAGAGCACGGTTTAGTTATAGGGGTGTGAGGGGGTGCCTCAACTCTTCTTGGCTCGAATGATGCGACCCCTGAACTACTGAGCCACCATAACCGCTCCTGATTCCTTGACTGTGGCAAACGCACGCAATTCAATATCGAATGAGCGTGCGTTTTCGGCAAAAAGAGGTGAGACTGCGGGTTGATGGCACCGTCGATACCGATGGCGGTCAGTCGACATCCGATGAGCGTCGGCGTATTCCTAATTGGGGATGTTAACGCGGTTCACCGTTTTTTTTTGCCACTGAACGACCATTAACGCGCGACTGCTTTGAACCCGCTGTGTTGTTTTTCTTTTGTTTTTGCAGTCGAGAACATTAACCACTGTGAGTTTGCCCTGCTGAGAGACCTCCTCATCAGGTAAAGAAGTCACGATCACTTTCAAGTTCCACCTCAGCGCCGCGCTCACTCGAGCGGGCTTACGTCAACGGGCCAAAATTACATTTGTTGCCGTTAAAAAGAAGAATGCGAGCGAGAGCCCGGTGGTGATATGAGCCAATCGTGATATTAAACGGCTTCCTACCTACTGAGTTTCTGAAACGCAGTCTCATTGCAGTGGAGTTAGCTAATGGAGGCCCTCTTGGGGATTGCAAACAAAATGCTCAGTAATTGATGATTGCTGAGAGATCTCCTCAGAGCCAGACCAAAAAGGTAAACAAACCTTGAAGTCTCGCTGTTTCCATGGTGAGTGGAGGTGCCGGTTTGGCAGAATTGCAAAATGTTTGCATATAATCCGTGGTAACTATTGACCTGAGTCTGCAAAAGTGAACATGTGTTTCATTTCAGTGTGTTGTATCTGGGGTGCTGGTCACCCGCTCTATCGTGCGCCGTTCCGGCCTTCAGAGGCACTGCTCGCTGACAGCACTTGCCCCAACAGCCTGTTAAGGCTATACAGGGGATCTTTGTCGTTGTGTGTATATGTGTAAAATGTGGGGGGTGGTAGTGTTAGTGGTTCGCGCAATGCACTCCGAGTTTGATTCCAGTTGATGACCAACATCAGTGACGAATATCTGAACTGGTGCTGGGTTTCCCCAAAGTCAACTTAATACTTAGTGCGCCCCGCACTAAGTATTAAGTTAACGTCCCCAGAACTGGGTACCCAGAACTGGGTAGACAAATGTGACTGGGAGTTGTGCTGGCCATTCACCTCCTAACCGCATTTGTCCCAACAACCTGTTAAGGATATGTGGGAGATCTGTTTTTACGTCGAGTGATGGTGTTGTGGTTTAGCACCAAGACCAGGCCATGCACATGATTGGCACTTGTTATGTGAACTGTGCTTGGGCCTCCTTAATTAGACTCAGCCTAAAATAAGCAGCGTGTTACCATGTTTGATAAAATGTTTAAAAGGCACTCGCTAACAGTGCTTGTGCCAGTAGTCTGCAGTAAAATAGTTCTAATGAGTCTTTGAGTTTTTGAATGCACAAATTGCGACTGCAACATTGGTCAAACCAGGACGATTGAAGCCCAAATGCATGAATGTATGGATACGTCTATTGCACCAGTTTATTGATTTCATCGTCATCATCGGCCACGGTCAATCCACAACGAAATGAAGGCCGTCCCAAGCAGCTGCCATCTCTCACGATCCTCCGGTGTAATAAATTACATCAGCTCCATATGGAGCTGATGTAATTTGCCATCATCCCGTCTCCCACCATCCCTTCTCCCACCATCCCTTCAGCATCCCTCTGTGCCTCAGTATATTTTGCTAACTAACTCTTTGATGAAAACCGCCCGCCTGCTCACCTCCCATGCCCTCGGCCAGCCCCTTCCCCCCCCCCCCCCCCCCCGTTGCCACCGCCAGTTCATCTCAACTCAACCGGTGGTCGCACCCTCTCCTTTGTTGCCCCTGAGGTTTAGAACTCCTCCTCATTCGTTGTTCACATTGCTCGTGGCCGGTTACACGGCCAAGTGGGTGGCGCATTCGCCGCTTGCTGCAGAGGTCCGCGGTCTCGGATGCAGCGGGCACCCTGATTATTACTGCGGGTGTGTTATTACCGTCATAACGCTGCAACGCCGTCTGCTGCACTCACAGTGGATGTTAAAGATTACCTGAAGTCCAGAGGACGCCATTGTGTGCCACCCCCAGGGTTAGATTCTTCCAAATAGCCCAGGTCACTCTTGCAAATGAGACCCATCCTGGTCTCTTCAGCTCTCTCCTGTTTGAAGTCCTTGCCCCCAAATCGGCTTCTTCTTCTCCTCCTCCATGTTCAACATCTCCCATGCCTTTAAAACTCTCTTGTAGCCGCTCCTCATCAACACAAAATTACCTCCCTACCTACCTTCACCCGCGCAATTCGATGGCGGCATTTTTATCAAATAATAAAAGGATCGTCACGTGCCTACCGATCGCACCCCCGCCCCGGCTGATTCTGCGACCTTCGGGAATTGTGCTGCGTGGTGACTCTCCATCTCCCCACGCCCCGCTTCCCTTTTATTTTTTACCTCCCCCCCCCCCTCCCGTGAACCCCAACTAAAGGTCACACATGGAGGACCTCAAAGACGTGACTCACAGCATTCTGTACGAAACGTACCGGGTGCGGCGCCTCAACGAGACCAACGGCATGGCGGCCTGGAAGTCTCCCTCCAACGGCCACCGGGAGAAGGATGGCGGGGACCTTGCGGAGAGCAACATCTAGACCTCGAGTCGCCGCCGGACATTTTTAATCGCACGCGTTCGTCGCCGAGGAGCGCAAGTGACAAATGCTGGAAGCCCACCACCACCACCACCCACCCACCCACCCCAGAAGCAGTGCCAATTCTTCAGCCGCGGTCTGAGGGATACCAGGGCCGTGTGCTCACAGCGGGCAGTGTTGCGGGTTCTTTTGAGCGCGATGAGCACTGGCAATGGGAGTCGATGGGGGAAAATGTGATCCGAGGTTGGTGCACTGAACATCTGTGACAGATTTCAAGAATATCAAACCAGACGGCTTAGGAAATATCCGAAGCCTCTAACAGAAATGCGTGAGTGTCGGAGCAGAAAAATATGATTTTCATGCAAACTAGAAAAATGTCAAGATATGGAAGATTTCTGTTCCTTGGGGGCAGTTTAAATGGGAATATCTTTGCCTGTCCGCCAAAGTTATGGACATATTAACAAAAAAACCCAGCCAGCTATCTGAAATGTCAAAATAAAATACTCTTTTCAACCATCGACTGCCCATAAACGCCAACAATGCAAGTGCATATTTTCAGCGGTGACCTAAAATAGTCGGAGAAAAGACATCTCTCGATCTGACCTTTTTTGGCGAAAGAGCTCGCAACGAAAGCAAAGAAAGTGCCACCGAAATCTCACGCAAAACAGCGCTTGTTATTTCATAAGGAAGCACGTATTTTTCGTACGCTTAAAACATGCGGAATTAAATAACGCCACGGCATGTGCAACACTAAACCCTTTTGGGAACGAGGATGAGATTAAGAGGCACTGACGTTAAACGGAGTTAAACCAGCGTAATTACACGCCAAGGTGTCACATTGGATTTCCCCTCCCCCCCCCCTGCCGTGGCGACGCTAAGAGTGGAGAGGGTGATTTGAGCTGGCTCGGTGTTCAAACGAGTTCCCAACAAAGTGACGTTTCATCGCTTGCTCCGGCGGAGGCGTCGGTGGAATTATATTTGGAGTCTTGAGCGAGCAAGATGGCGAGCCGTTTAACGAGCCGTCTTGTGAAATAACAAAACATGTAAAAGGTTTATAACCATCGCAGGTAGTCTCCGTTAAGTATATCCGTAACTTCTGATTGAAATGAATAATTAATTGTACGTTGAAGCTTTTCTTTTCTAACATCATGAGCTCTTGGAGGAGTTAAATCGTTGTCCCCGTGGGTCGAATGTTGTATTTGTTAAGTAGGCTCGCGATTGGAGTAATGATCTTTATTCGAGCTCTAAAAGTCTCCAATACGGCGAAGTCACTGTTTCATATATTTTTATATTTTATTCAGATATGCATAGTTGATTGGCAGGTCGCAGCACAGGCTGGGCTTAAGTGTGGCTACTCCCACCTCTTCCAAGAGCTCCTTATAGTGGACGCCCTTTGGTCAGCAGTGGCCTGAGAAAGCAATTGCAGGGGCTGCACCTTTATGCATACGACTTTAAACATTGTTTAATGTGACCACTAAAACTGTCTGAGCTGAAGCATTTCCCCCTTTCTTGTTTTTTCGCGAATTCGCCGTCACAAATGCTCGTGTCTGCAAAGGGCAAATGTCATTTCACCCGTTGGTATGAACGCTTTAGCAAGTGCCAAAATGAATACGGCACCGTATTTGCATTGTGCGCAAAACAGACGGTCGACCATACAAAAAAAGTGAAATGCAAGCTGTGTAAACTACGCGGACCGGAATTTTCCTAGAAAATTTCACAATGCACGTTGAGATGGGATGGATACAGATTTTAGTTTCACCGTCTTAGGCAAATACATCCCTTCACAATAACATTCCTGTTTTGACATTTGCCATGATTGAATTCTCTCTTTGAAACTATTTTTTTTGTTGCTGTTTTGTAAAGCGTGGCTTTTTTCTTGTAGCACGGTAATTTTTGCGGACGTATGTCTACGGAGGTATGTTTACTTCTGTAAAGACAGCGAATTAAGTTACATGAGCAATTTGAACAATTGAATGCAACCGGGAGGAGTGTGTAATGCAGAGTTCTCGAGCAACATTTCATTGACGGAGTTGAATGGAAGAAGGCCCATGATGTCCAGCATCTTTAAGAAATGGCACGGGGCACGCGGAGAGAAAGAGAGAGTTTACGTCATATATATATGTTTTACTTTCATTCAAACTACAGCGCGTGCACGCATATTTACGCCACCAATTTCTCGACGAAGTTTTGCCATTGTCAGCGGCTAACATTTAAAGAGTATCTCCCTCCCGTGATTTTCTCACAATTCACAACGGACGGCGGTAAACGGTGAAAGGGCAACACTGTCTGACGGCAACTCTGATCGTTCTTGAAATGCTCTCTCTCTCTCTCTGTTGCGTTCTGCCGATGGTACTGCGCGCAAGCCATCATCAGCATCATCATCAAACTCTGTGGGCAGAAGGCCCGTTCGTAGGTGTCCACTGCAGTTTTTTGCGCAAGTACAGCAGCCAATATTCACGTTCAGCTTCCTCGCTAAACATCACGAGGATTATTCCCCCCCCCTCCCCACCCCCGTGTCAGCATTTCTAATGAAACATTTTCTGTTGTTGTTTTACAAAGGGGATGAAACACACATTTTTTTTGTATGATAACATGTTTTATATATATGTATGCTCATGCATAGGGGTCGTGCGTGATGTTCGCTCGCAATAATTCATTTAAAATAATTAATTATTACGAATTTAAAAAAAAGTAATACAATTAAAAATAGCTGCAGGCCTTTTTTTAAGGGGGGGTTGAAAATTCCTATTAAAGAGATTTTCTTATCAAATATATTTTTAAATGTATACGACTCGGTGCTTTGTTGTTGTGTAACCTCTGTAATTTGAAGCATATTGGTTAGTAAAGCATCATTTAACAAAAACACGTTGCATAAGTCGCACTGTGAGTCCCCATTACGATGTATGGTATATCATTGTTTTTACGCTATCATTGTGATGTTAACGAATGTTATAAATGCATCTACCTTTCTTTGTCTGAAAATAACCAAATGACAACTGGCTTCCCATTAGTCGTGACCTTGCCAACTTAAGAAAATCTATACGTCTCAATTCATACAACAAAAGTATCCCATGTAACATAGAGTGTATATCAGTATTTTAATTCTGACTTTTGCCACGTTTATAGCACAGGTATACGTTCACGGTTTTTTTCCTTCTTCTTTCTCCCTAAGGTTATTTGCACTTTCTTAAAGGCTTTGGCCAGGCCAGAGTGATGGAATGTTGCTTGGCATTTTTCAGAGCGAATAATGCCACCTGCTGACAGCTTAAAATAAGTTCCACGTGGCAGGACCAAGAAACGCCCATGTGCAAACTGCCCGAACCCGAGGTGTACAACACAGGCCGCTTCGCTACAGGTATACGTGCGTGGTCGAATATTTAGTCCAAATTGTACATACGCCTCGTTGTGCCACCGCCACGTACTACTTCTGACAAATGTACCTAGCAAACGCAAAAAGGTCCGAGCCTTCCCTTGTCCTCGACAATGCAATTGGCCGTCAATAACAACAATGCCGTTCGCTCACTCGAGATGCACGGTGAGTTTGGTGTCGGCTTGGCGGCTGGTATGGAGGGCGGATGATCCCCTCGCTACGGGGGATTTGCCCTGGAAATTAAGCCTGCAAATTCAACGGTGCACCGGTGAGCCACCGGCAGTGCAGGGCAAACTGCAGGCATGTTTTCGTGCTGAGGATTTTAAATCGGCAGGAGCGGTTGGGAGGGGGGGGGGGCGGTGTAAACTGGCCAGGGCCGATGTGTGGCGAGCCCAAGTCTCTGACAGCTTGTACACACGCCCGGCCCATTAGATGTGTAATGAGTGTAACAGCAGAAATCCCGGCTCTGCCAAGACACGTCTGCGCTCCGTGGAGTTGTTTTGTTCCTTAACGAAATTGAAGAGTAGTCTTGGTTCTTGCAGTCACGAAAGCTTTAAATCAAAATGAAATTGTAAGAGCTTTGATTTTTTTTTCTCTCTCTCTCTCTCTTCTACAATTTGCCCTTTTTTTTGGCAATTTTCAATCCACTGCTAAACGTCCATACACGAACGGGTTTAAAGACCGTCGTAGATAGCGGCGGTTCGCCGAGTGGGCGGTAACCAGTCTAGGCCGCGCGAGCGAACGCGCGTGCACGCGTGCGTGCCAAAGATACGCGCGATCAACGTCGATCATTGTGTGTGCAGCAAATTTTTTGCCAATCCACAGTGACAATGAGAGCCACCACCCCCCCCGTCCCTCCCAAACCGTGCACGCGTTCGGGCTGGTGGAAGGCGTGGGGCATAGACGCGGCAGCGTGGTAGAGTACAACAATGGATTTTAGTTTGTTGTTTTGCCGTAGTGCCTTTCGCTGCCCAACGTTGCCCCTGATGAACGATACTTACGCGAATTGCCATCGAGCCAGCAGCATTATCAACCGGTGCATCGCGGATCACGTAGCAACATCCCCCACCCCACACCCCCGCGGTGTTACAGCCACATCGCGATGGACGTCTGTCAAAAGGAGCTTTGTAGCTCCTCCAGCATGAATAAATATTCCGATTCTGAAATAGTGGTTCCCTCCCTCGAAATATTCCCTCCCAAATGCCCCTTAAATGTGGGTGCGGTGTCAGTGTAGTCCATTCGGCGCGACAGATGGCTTAATTCACTCACCTGGAGGGCAAGTGATCCACATGTGCTGTACATAGGGTATACGCAAAACAAAAACAATGTATTTGCTTCTTTATCCGTGCATAGTTTAACGAAGCAATTATGCAAAGGAATACTATTGCCACCGGATAGTCACACGCGTCTCACTTTGTTGCGTATGTACTTTAAGTAAGGCACGATATGACGTTAAGTACCGTGTTAGGACACTCGCTATATCGACACCGGCACATTGCATTAGAGGTCACGCAAGTTTGTCCAGCGCTGAACTCGGATATTTACGTCTGACTATAACGATTGCATTTATTTGCCATTGAATATTGAATTATTCTGTACTCCCGTCTAAAAGTTGTGTTCCTGCTTGAATTACAGAGGCTTATGTGATTTGTCTTTTTTGTATGGAAGGAGATGAGTTGGAGGGCCGGTGGCGGAGGGAGGGGGGTATGGGATTGATGTTTTGTTATATTCATCAACTTTTTTTGTCTCGACGTACAGTTAAACCCGCGATCGTAAGCAAAAAAAAATTTGGTTCACATTTACGTTTATATATGAAAACACAAATAATGAATAAATAAAATTCTGTACGTGTGTGTACATGCTTGCTTTATCAATGGAATAAGCTAGTAACCGGATGATGATAATAATGCTATTTGTTGTGCTTCCCCCACACTCTGCCTTCTGATATTAGGAAGCCACTGAAGCTATGCACTTTTAATTCTAGCTTGAAAACGCATTTATTTCGGACTGCTTTTTGTGTTTAGTTTATTGTCCTTCCCCCGCGCCTCCGATTGGTACGGTTAGCAACGTATGGTGCGAAAGAAAATCAGCAAACATGAATGCATACGTATAGTGGAGTCGTTTATGCATTTTTCCTGCCAGTCGTGGCAACACACGCCTGTAATATATAACATGGTGGTAGGCAGTGAAGGTTGGTGGATCGCACAAACATTGTGAAACTACCTTCTCGTGGGTGGGGGGAGGATGGGGTCAGGGAGTTGCCATATCCTGGCTCACCAGAAGGCAATGCAGACATTTGTGGGGTCCACCTGTTCTGTCTGTAAGGGGATAGAGTGATTCCCCCTCGCACGCGTGGGGTTTCCCCGGGTTGCTCCGGTTTCCTCTCACATGCAATCACTCATTAATTGTCCTGTAACACTGTAATATATATCGAGGAGCGTGCCTGCTGTTACTGCTCGTCTGTAGTTTATCGCACCTCTGAGTCGTTCCCTCTCCCTCTCTTTGAGAGTCGTGACTGCAGTGCGGCACATTACAAGTGGAGATTGCAGTCAACTTTTAATTATATCTCACAATGCCAGTAGTGTTAATTACATATCACAATGCCAGTAGTATTAATTACATCTCACAATGCCAGTAGTGTTAATTACATATCACAATGCCAGCAGTATTAATTACATCTCACAATGCCAGTAGTATTAATTACATCTCACAATGCCAGTAGTATTAATTACATCTCACAATGCCAGTAGTATTAATTACATCTCACAATGCCAGTAGTATTAATTACATATCACAATGCCAGTAGTATTAATTACATCTCACAATGCCAGTAGTGTTAATTACATATCACAATGCCAGTAGTATTAATTACATCTCACAATGCCAGTAGTGTTAATTACATATCACAATTCCAGCAGTATTAATTACATCTCACAATGCCAGTAGTGTTAATTACATATCACAATGCCAGTAGTATTAATTACATCGCACAATGCCAGTAGTGTTAATTACATCTCACAATGCCAGTAGTATTAATTACATCTCACAATGCCAGTAGTATTAATTACATCTCACAATGCCAGTAGTATTAATTACATCTCACAATCCCAGCAGTATTAATTACATATCACAATGCCAGTAGTATTAATTACATCTCACAATGTCAGTAGTATTAATTACATATCACAATGCCAGTAGTATTAATTACATCTCACAATGCCAGTAGTGTTAATTACATCTCACAATGCCAGCAGAATTAATTACATATCACAATGCCAGTAGTATTAATTACATATTACAATGCCAGTAGTACTAATTACATATCACAATGCCAGCAGTATTAATTACATATTATAATGCCAGTAGTATTAATTACATCTCACAATGCCAGTAGTGTTAATTACATATCACAATGCCAGTAGTATTAATTACATATCACAATGCCAGTAGTGTAAATTAGATATCACAATGCCAGTAGTATTAATTACATCTCACAATGCCAGTAGTGTTAATTACATATCACAATGCCAGCAGTATTAATTACATCTCACAATGCCAGTAGTGTTAATTACATATCACAATGCCAGCAGTATTAATTACATCTCACAATGCCAGTAGTGTTAATTACATATCACAATGCCAGTAGTATTAATTACATATCACAATGCCAGTAGTATTAATACATCTCACAATGCCAGCAGTATTAATTACATCTTACAATGCCAGTAGTATTAATTACATCTCACAATGCCAGTAGTGTTAATTACATCTTACAATGCCAGTAGTATTGATTACATCTTACAATGCCAGTAGTATTAATTACATCTCACAATGCCAGCAGTATTAATTACATCTCACAATGCCAGTAGTGTTAATTACATATCACAATGGCAGTAGTATTAATTACATCTCACAATGCCAGTAGTGTTAATTACATATCACAATGCCAGCAGTATTAATTACATCTCACAATGCCAGTAGTGTTAATTACATATCACAATGCCAGCAGTATTAATTACATCTCACAATGCCAGTAGTGTTAATTACATATCACAATGCCAGTAGTATTAATTACATCTCACAATGCCAGTAGTATTAATTACATCTCACAATGCCAGCAGTATTAATTACATCTTACAATGCCAGTAGTATTAATTACATCTAACAATGCCAGTAGTATTAATTACATCTCACAATGCCAGTAGTGTTAATTACATCTCACAATGCCAGTAGTATTAATTACATATCACAATGCCAGTAGAATTAATTACATCTCACAATGCCAGTAGTATAAATTACATCTCACAATACCAGTAGTATCAATTACATCTCACAATGCCAGTAGTGTTAATTACATATCACAATGCCAGTAGTATTAATTACATCTCACAATGCCAGTAGTATTAATTACATCTCACAATGCCAGCAGTTTTAATTACATCTTACAATGCCAGTAGTATTAATTACATCTCACAATGCCAGCAGTATTGATTACATCTCACAATGCCAGCAGTATTAATTACATATTACAATGCCAGTAGTATTAATTACATATCACAATGCCAGCAGTATGAATTACATCTAACAATGCCAGTAGTGTTAATTACATCTCACAATGCCAGTAGTGTTAATTACATCTCACAATGCCAGCAGTATTAATTACATCTTACAATGCCAGTAGTATTAATTACATCTCACAATGCCAGTAGTATTGATTACATCTTACAATGCCAGTAGTATTAATTACATCTCACAATGCCAGAAGTATTAATTATGTATCACAATGCCAGTAGTATTAATTACATATTACAATGCCAGTAGCATTAATTACATCTTACAATGCCAGAAGTATTAATTATGTATCACAATGCCAGTAGAATTAATTACATCTCACAATGCCAGCAGTATTAATTACATCTCACAATGCCAGCAGTATTAATTACATATCACAATGCCAGTAGTATTAATTACATATCACAATGCCAGTAGTATTAATTACATATTACAATGCCAGTAGTACTAATTACATATCACAATGCCAGTAGTACTAATTACATATCACAATGCCAGCAGTATTAATTACATATTACAATGCCAGTAGTACTAATTACATATCACAATGCCAGCAGTATTAATTACATATTATAATGCCAGTAGTATTAATTACATATCACAATGCCAGCAGTATTAATTACATATTACAATGCCAGTAGTACTAATTACATATCACAATGCCAGCAGTATTAATTACATATTATAATGCCAGTAGTATTAATTACATATCACAATGCCAGTAGTATTAATTACATCTCACAATGCCAGTAGTATTAATTACATCTCACAATGCCAGTAGTATTAATTGCATCTCACAATGCCAGCAATATTAATTACATCTCACAATGCCAGCAGTATTAATTACATCTAACAATGCCAGCAGTATTAATTACATATCACAATACCAGTAGTATTAATTACATATCACAATACCAGTAGTATTAATTACATCTTACAATGCCAGTAGTATTAATTACATCTAACAATGCCAGCAGTATTAATTACATCTCACAATGCCAGTAGTATTAATTACATCTCACAATGCCAGTAGTATTAATTGCATCTCACAATGCCAGCAATATTAATTACATCTCACAATGCCAGCAGTATTAATTACATCTAACAATGCCAGCAGTATTAATTACATATCACAATACCAGTAGTATTAATTACATATCACAATACCAGTAGTATTAATTACATCTTACAATGCCAGTAGTATTAATTACATCTAACAATGCCAGCAGTATTAATTACATATCACAATACCAGTAGTATTAATTACATATCACAATACCAGTAGTATTAATTACATCTTACAATGCCAGTAGTATTAATTACATCTAACAATGCCAGCAGTATTAATTACATCTCACAATGCCAGTAGTATTAATTACATCTAACAATGTCAGTAGTATTAATTACATCTCACAATGCCAGTAGTATTAATTACATCTAACAATGCCAGTAGTATTAATTACATCTAACAATGGCAGGAGTATTAATTACATCTCACAATGCCAGTAGTATTAATTACATCTCAAAACGCCAGTAGTATTAATTACATATCACAATGGCAGTAGTATTAATTACATCTCTAAATGCCAGTAGTATTAGTTACATATTCCAATCCCAGTAGTATTAATTACATGTCACAATGCCAGTATTAATTACATCTCAAAATGCCAGTAGTATTAATTACATATCACAATTCCAGTAGTATTAATTACATCTTACAATGCCAGTAGTATTAATTACTTATTACAATGCCAGTAGTATTAATTAAATATCACAATGCCAACAGTATTAATTACATCTTACAATGCCAGTAGTATTAATTACATATCACAATGCCAGTAGTATTAATTACATCTCTAAATGCCAGTAGTATTAGTTACATATTCCAATCCCAGTAGTATTAATTACATCTCACAATGCCAGTATTGATTACATCTCAAAATGCCAGTAGTATTAATTACATATCACAATTCCAGTAGTATTAATTACATCTTACAATGCCAGTAGTATTAATTACATATTACAATGCCAGTAGTATTAATTAAATATCACAATGCCAACAGCATTAATTACATCTTACAATGCCAGTAGTATTAATTATATATCACAATGCCAGTAGTATTAATTACATCTCTAAATGCCAGTAGTATTAGTTACATATTCCAATCCCAGTAGTATTAATTACATCTCACAATGCCAGTATTGATTACATCTCAAAATGCCAGTAGTATTAATTACATATCACAATTCCAGTAGTATTAATTACATCTTACAA